GTAACAAGTGCCACGCTAGTAGTAACAAGTGCCTTACTAGTAGTAACAAGAAGCTATTAATGAAGTGTCAAACTGTTTAGCATCCTTGCTCCGTTCGTTTCGATGCCAGGAGCCCCTAGTGGCTTCTTGTTTCTGTTTGCTTTAAACGAAATAAGACAAACAGTTTGAGCAACTTTGCAGATTGGAAGAAACGGACATCAACAAACAGCATGGCATCCGCCGATTCCACGCTCGTGGAGGCTCAATGTGGAGAATGAGACGCCCTGAACCCAGAGTCTTCAAGAGTCTTCCATCATGGCCTGGGCGTCGCCCTCCAGAGTTTGTGACCTCATCCGAGGCGAAAGCTGCAAGTTTCAGCCTCAGTCCAACCAAAGTCGTGAAAGCCGTGGCACTGAAGAAACGAAACAGAGGACCAGTGTGACGTGCACAAGTAGGAACTGTCCCGGCTGTCCCGGGCCTTTTTACTTGGATGCCTGGCTGGTCGAAACCAGCTCAGTGTTTTGGCCCGTAAAGAAGCTCCCTGAAACGCAAACAGCTTCACCAACCGTCAGGGTTGTGTTTTTGCATCACCTGACAAGCTGTGTTTCGGTGCCTGTCGGGTTTGCTGCCTTTCAGCTCTGTCAGCTCCTTCCACTATTTGCCCATCTCCGTCGTGGTGAGTGAAAGAAAAGAACAGTGAACAGACCCTCACAGGTTGACCTTTTGAAGCGTTTGCAGGTCAATTCAACAGGTTGAAAAAGTAAATTGGGAAGAACTCGAACCTTCAGCCAGCTTCTCTATTTTTGTATCTTCAGAACGATTGGTGTTGGAACTTTTTTTGCTTTGTTGCATGTTTGTTCTCTAAGAAGCATCAACATGATTGAAGACAAGTCCAGGTCGCTGCTACTGGACCCAATACTGAGGCCACTGCACCACCGACCCTTTCTGCCGGGGAAACTCAGTGTCGGCAGTGCAGAAGCACTTTTGGCGACCCAAGGAACACATCGCATATCTTTAAGGGCAAAATCACATACTTGGTGTTATCATGTGTTGTCTATGTTGAAGTTTTAAACATGGTTTTCTAGTTGGTTTTGTTTTTCTAGTAGCCTATCGCCGGCGTCAATAGCGAGGAGTGACAGCATCCCTCCAGACTCTCCACGCTTTCTAGTGTTGCAAGAGAGGCTTTTCTGACGGGAGACGCTGTTTGGTAAGGGCAAGTCAAGAAGGCTTACACCCTTTTGAAAGGCACTTTTCAATAGGCTCTGCTATTTGAAGGCCCCGAAAACGGACTCTTAATTCCACAATAGAGCTTTTAACTGGAAACAATGCGACAGTTATAGGGGTTCTTACTTCTCAATGACTGGGTGACCGACGTCTGCCGCTGACGCTGCATTGTGTCTCTCAACCTTGTCTCCCTGTATGGTGTCCCGATTTTTCTGCCGATCCCTGTCCCCAAGCTTCTCTCCTCCATCTCGTTTCTGGCAGTCTCTTTTTTGGGAAAGTCCAAGACTTGCAAGAATCCGTCGGTTTCCCCCGTGTCTTTGAGTCTGTGGGTGTCGGAGTCCATGTTTTTCGAGCGATGGGGAGACCATCGTCCTATTCTCCTTTCTGTTTTCTTCAGGGAGCTGGAGCTTTGGTTTACCAATTGGAACAGGACCGACTAACTCGGTGACGTCGTCGACCTGGGGACGTTGGTGACGTCGGTGACGTGTTGTTCTCGTTGACCGCAGGACGAGCTGCCTTATCTACAGGACGTGCGTTTGGCCATTGAGCTGGGAGCACAGGAAAACGAGATGAAAAGAGTAGTCTAAAGGAAAGAAAGGCATTGGTCGTTTCGGACAACAGACAATATATAATGATTCTTTTTGGTTGACTGGCTTGAGAGGGACAGCGACCAATGAGTGGAGATCATACTGCAGCTTCATGGCATAAACCCAGCAAAACTCATTTAGGGACACAGGAAAGATGTCGTAGAAGTTGAAATTCTTCAAACATATTCGTACCCTCGAAAAAGATACCTAAATGAGCGCTTGGCCCATGTGGAATAGCTTTATACCATCAGTGTCACCCCAGTCAGCAGCTGAGCTGTGTGGGCATCACTAGCATCATGCTATAACATACCAATCTACATTGAAACCATCGTCGACAACAGCAGGGTGGAACCAGCAGAAATCTTAAGGATGGAAAACTCGTTTGCGGGATGCTTGAGATTTTCGTGTTTGGTCATGTGCACACATAGCAGACACAGCTGAAATGACCAGAAGTGTTTCTTTTAACCATGCGCTGCAAGGTGACATACGACAGAGTCAAACATGATCCAAACTGAAAGGCAACCTATGGAAGTAGCACGTCAGAGTGGTCTCAGTTCAGAACACAGCGGCTGAGATGATGTTTTTGCAACTGAAAGGGGTCGTGCAGAGGTTTCATAATGTGGAGTTCAAACGTTTGAACGTGGTTTTACGTGGCTTCACACAAGCAATACTTTGCGCCATTCCCGTCCCGACGTGCTCAGGAAACAGAACATTGAGGCCGAAACCAGGCTGCGAGCTGCAGCACAACTAGAGGCTCCAGCCAGCTTTCAGATTGGGAGAATTCGAGAGTCTTTTCAAATAAGACGAGCAAGTGGATGAGATTTCGATAACTCAAGTTTGGATGCCAAGCTGAGGAGGCGGCTTGCACTGCTCTGCTTTGTCCAAGCCAGTTGAACAGCCATTTGAGCAGAAAGTGACAATTCATTTGCCACAGAACTGAATTTGAAGAAGAAAACAGACACCTGCAGAATAATCTTCTTCGAATCTGTCTGTTTCTGCTATTGGGTGCTTGCCCTGCATACACAAGACCCACGTATGCGTGCCAATGAAGGACACTATTTTTGACAGTAGCAGGGGCTCTCTTGACACATGGCTTGAAAGGATCCTAGCAAATCTGGTTCGACACAAGAACGGAACATCAAGATAGTTGAATAAATCAATCGAAGAAAACAAAAAACAAAAGAAACAAACATAATCAAAGAAACAAACAAATAAAACACATAAAAACATAATCAAAGATCTCAAAGAGCCCTGCCGGGACCGTCTGTGAGTCGAGACCGACGGGAAGATCGGAAGCCACAGCTTCCGTCGTTTCGCCATGGGGGAAGCCGTGGAGGTGACCGTGGGTGAAGCAGTGGAGGCGACAAAGACAAAGGTGGAAAGATCATTATAGCTTTCCTTTGTATCTTAGATTACTTTTGTTTTATGCGTATTTTTATGTTTGTTTTAGGGGGGTAGGCCGCTAGGTAGCTAGTACCTGCAACTGCAAGTAGCTACTACCTATGGATGCAGGATAGCTCACGCTTCTTCAAGGAAGCTCCCCCGCCTGAGGGCGGGGGGAGCTTCCTTGAAGAAGCGCTCGCACTAATCACTAATCATTGTTTCCAAGATTTTTAGTGAAACTTAACTAATAGATTTTTTGTGGCTCATGTCACTTGTTGCTTGTGGTTTGTGGCTATAAGTAAGGGAGTAAGCTACTAGCTACTTAAGCTACTACACATGGACGCAGGATGGCGCTCGCACTAATGATTTGGTTCCTAGATTTTTTGGCATTATCGATCATCCATATTGAGTTAGATGCAAAAGGCAGCACAATGTGTATCCTGACTTTTGTCTATGAAGAACCGCCTGTGGAGCAGAAACTGCTCATTCCGATGCCTTGTGAAAGAAACATCAGTTCACCATCCCCAAATCTGCTCGATGGCTCTTCGCCACCCTAGCTGATCTTCAACTTGGCATATCATCAGAGGTGGATTTGGAGATTTCACACACACAGTTAGTGTCTAGGTCCAGGAGAGACTGAAGCTATTTTTTTGCGCTGCATCCTGTATGGATCCGCTTGAAAGCTGATTCATTTGCAGTCTTCCCACCAAGAGTTGGAGGATAATCTGTCACCAGGGTTTTGATTAACAGTAACAAGAAGCTACTAGGGGCTCCGGGCATCGCTACTAGGAGCAAGGACGCTACTAGGGGCTCCTGGCCGTACTACGACGATTCAGCGATCCAAATTCTGTTCGAACAAAAAATGGAGAATGTTCGCTCGAGGCCTACTGGCCTGACGATGACCAATGGCTCCCCGCAGAGATCTCGGCGCCTGGGCGACACGAAGCATCGCTCTTAGGATGGAGGCCATTGCTATTAGGGTGGAGGCTCCCTCCTTCCCTCCTTCCCTCCTTCCCTCCTTCCCTCCTTCCCTCC